TCGAGGGCTTTGCTCTGCTGCTGCAAGTCCTTCGAATCCACCGCGGCCACCGCCGCCGCCGCCGCTTCCTCTCCCCCCTCCATCTGCGCTTCCTACCGCTAGGGCACCAAGTCACTGGCCGGCCTCAGGCAGAGCGAATAGACACAAACCACAGAACGAGAAACACAAATAGCTTTATGCATACCCTCAAATTTTACCACTACATATAGGGCATTTTATCGAAAAAGCCCCCTCGTAATACGCTTTTACCTCAACGTTTGGTTGTTACCAACGCACCCTGTTTTTTTTTTTTTTTTTTTTTTTTTTTTTGAGGTTTTGATTAAAATATTTTTAATAATATCATAAAAAGATGATATTTATCCTTTAGAACAAAGTCAATTTTTTTAAAAAAATAAATCGAATCAATTCAACTACATCTTTGATTTTTTTTTAAATTATTCCCACTTCCACTTCGTCTTGTTCTCTCACTCCGTCATCTCTTTTCTCTCCTCACGTTTTAAGTAGGTTATCTATTACACTCGTTCATAGAATATATTAAAATATATTAATTTTTATATAAAAATTAATCATCATAAATTTATATAAAAATAAAAAATTTATTAAATATATAAGCATCTCATTTTAGTAATTTTGAAAAAGTTTCGATATACATAGTAAAAATTTAAAGAATTATACTTGATTATATATTCAACCAAAACATATCATATTTTAAAAATTAATTAGTCTAAATTTATAAAACATAAAATAAAAAAATTATATTAATTATATTATTATTTTACTTTAGTAGTTATGGAGAAATTTGGATAGGTTTGATGAAAATTTAATAAACCACACTAGATCACCAATTCAACAAAAAAAAATATCATATTTAAAAATATATTCATCCTAAAATCATAAGAAATTAAAAAAATATATTAAATATTTTAGAATCATGTGCTAGTGATTTTAAAAAAGTTTGAGTTGGTTTGATAAAAAATATCTTGGTTATACTCGTGTTACACTTAAATTATACTCCTTAACAGATTCAATAAAATTGAACTTTATTCATTGTGCTCGAACCTAATCCAATCCGAAATAGATCATATGATGCCTAAATCGAACCGAACCGAACCAACCTACAGATCTATGGCTTGAAATTGTCCAATTCAAAGGCACCATTGGAATTTTAAAAAACACCCCTTGATAAAAATAATTAATTATAGGGGTGCCGTACGATAAAAGTCTAATATTAAGGATTTTTTTCTAATAAATTACTCTAGTGTATATGTATTTTTTAGAAGTTTTATTTAATTTACTAAAAAAACCCTCATGTAATAAATTTTATATAATTTACAAAAAAATTATATTCATCAGCATATTCAATAAAATTCAACTCGATTCATTGTGATCAGACCTAACCTAATTCAAAATAGATCATGTGATGCTTAAACCGGAACCAATATGCAGATCTATGGGTTGAAATATCCAATTCAAAGGCACCATTGGAATTAAAAAAAAAAAAAGCACCCCTTGATAAAAAAAATTAATTATAAGGGTGCCATATGATAAAAGTCCAAGGGTTTTTTCTAATAAATTACCCTAGTGTATATATTTTTTTAAATAATATATAATTTACTAAAAAACTCCTAATAGTAAGCTTTTATCGGATGTCGTTCTTGATTTTTATTAAGAGGCATCCATTTAAAAAAAATCATGATAATACCTCTAAATCGAGCTATTTTAAGCCGGACTGATCTGTGGGCCTGCTCGATCCAGATCAAGTCGAATCCCTTTAGATCATATCAATTCAAGTCGGATCCCTTACATTCAAGTTACACAAAAATTACAATCAAGTTGCACTCGTTCACAAAATATATTAAGATATATTAATTTTATATAAACTTTATTTTTAAATTTATTATAAAAAAATAGTAAAATTTTTGTTAGAATCATATTATAGTAGAATTTTGAAGTTTCGATAATTAATTACCCTTAAAAAATATTTAAAAAAATAAAATATTAAAATAGACTAGGTAATCAAATTTAACTTATTTTAATTTTGAGTATAACTAAGTTAATATATGAAATAGAAAATATAAGATTTTGTGATTAGTTTTATGATAAATTTAGGATAATTTTATATAAAAACTAATATATTTTTTATGATAACTTAAGTAGGTTTTTCAGTTTCATGATAAATTTAAAATAATTTTATATAAAAAATATATTTTTAATATTTTATGTGAATGAGCATAACTTGAGTAAAATAGTGGAGGACCGGTGAGAGAAAAGGGGAGGAGGAGCAGGAGAAGTTGTAGGTGAGGAATAATGAAGCTACGGAGAAAGGGGAGGAAGTGGTGAAGTGGAGGAGATCATGATGGAGGTGGAGTGGGAGGAGAAGCATGAGACAAAAGTGAAGTGAGAGAAAGCAACGACAATTGAGTGGGAGGAGGAAGCATAGGTAGAGTGGGAGAATGAGGAGGAAAGGGTGAGGAGGAGGAAATCAATGGAAGGGAGATGTGGGCGGAGGAGTGGGAGTGGAAGTGGGGGTGGGGATAATTTGAAAAAAGAAAAAGAAAAAAAGAGTAATATAAGACTTAGTTAAATTAAATTGAATAGGTAAGGTTTACTTGATCTGTTCATCTAAAAATATTAGTTCAATCTTAAAAAATCTGATTTGTTCATCTAAAAATATTAGTTCAATCTTAAAAAATCAAGTCAAACCTACTTAAATGATAATCACTATCTTTTTATAATTTAATTGAAGATATTATGATCAAAGTTCATCTCCTAAAACTCATTAGGAGCTTTTTTTTGAAAGATTATCTTATAATTTTTCTATATAAATATAAATATAAATATAAATATAAATAAATAAATATATATATATATATAACTTTTTAAATATTTAAATCTTTCATAGTACTCTCATTAAACACCTGTCTAATAATCATGGTCAGTATCAACTTTATCAAAATAAAATTTTAAATATTTTAGATATTCTTTATTCTTTTTATCAATTAAAATAACTATATATATATATATATATATATATATATATATATATATATATATATAGGTTTTACATTAAAATATTAATATTATGTATATCCCTTTAAAAAATTAAGATTTTGCATATAGATCATTGCAAAATATTCAAAACTTTCATATTATTCTGGATAACAAATGTCCAATAAACTAAAGTTAACTACTATTAATTAGGATTATTGTTGATTTTTATAAAGTTAAAAATTTAAATATTCTGATATACTTTGACTTGCTTTCATCAATTGTTTTACCTCTCATTTTTTTGGAGTACTTCCGAAGTAGATTTTAATATAAATTTGAGTTTCAATGTTATTATGCTTATGATCAATTGATTGGGATTAACTATAATGATACTTGTAAGTCTTTGGGTTTTGTAGGAATGCATGCATCAAACTCAAATTTAGAAGTGTAAATACATAAACCATTTACATGATATTTATATATACAATTTCACCAAACTTATGATTTAAAATGACAAAAATACTCCTGTTATTCTATGATTTTTGTTGTAACTAATGGAATTTGTTTGTCGATATATTTAATGCATGATTAATTAAAATGTAAATTTAGTTTAGGTAAATGACAGGAAAGAGTTATCACATAATGCGAAAAAATGTAGATTAAGAAGCAAGGATTAGAATTAGCATTTATTAGTTAATATAGATAGTACTCATCTCCTTGCTCAGCTTTAGAGAGAATTAAATCAAGTTAGGGCATTTTACCTTCAAAAGAAAAGAGGGGTCACTTACTCCCCCTCCTCTTCCCCCCTCCGGCTTCATCGCAAACCCTTCTTCTTCGTTGTCCATCGCTCCTCCTCCCTCACCACCTACCTTTCTTAGTCACAATGGGAGTAGGCAGGTAGAGCAATGGCAGAGGTCGAGGTACCAGAGGTTTGTGCAATGTTGATTTTGACTTGGTGTCCAGCGACTAAGGCGGCGAGGTCGAGGCGATAGCAGAGGTTTGGTCGCACCTGGAGGAGCTCCGACTCAAAAGGATGGTGGACGTTAGCCGCGAAGAGGTGTCAGAGGCGCTTGTCCATGCCTCCGTGGAGGCGACCTTGCTGAAAGAGAGGGATAAGGCTGTTGTTCGCGGGCGCGACGGTGCATAGAAGTCGCCTCCGTTTGCTCCCATTGCAACGAGGAAGGATGGGCAACAGAGGAGGAGAGGGTAGGAGGGGGAACAGAGTAGAAGGAGGAGGCAACGGGCGATGGGAAGGGTGGGTGACGGAGGAGGAGTGGGAGGAGAAGGGTAAAGGGTGGAGGGCGAGGAAGCGATGAGTATTGTCGTTCACGGTGGGAGCAGGGGGCGACGATGGAGGCGATGTTGGTCGAGGTCGTAATTAAGGGAAGTCTAATATTAAAGATTTTTTTAGAGGTAAAATTCTACATCGAGTTCACTTCATTAGGTAACTAAAGTCGACATGATCGACTGTACCATCCACAATACGTAGTCAGTGTAATCTCTCCATGTCATCTCAAGCGCGTGGTTCCCGCTGGACCATTGGGCCTTTTACTCATCCACGTTCCTTGGATGTTTGTTGGGTGTCTTTGTCGAGTGACTGAAGGTTTGATCTTAAACCAACCACGGGCCACAAGGGTGATTAGACCGCGTTAGGATATGGGTTACAAGCACCGAGGCGCTTTTCTATTGGTCAAGCCATGACTGGACGTATTAATCCTGTGGGTTGGCGTTTGGGTCCCGCTGTCCGTGCCAACCCAAGCACCGAGGCCAAGTTGCGGTTTGGGTCCTAACCGGTATACATTATTATAATATTACCTCCCATGTGGGACCCACTCCGTTAAAGTGCCCCTCCATTTACCACATGTAATCTGTACCAACGGTTTTCGCCAGTAGACGCTGTGTTTAAATGGGACCCATATTCGCCAATTTCTCAGTGGACAGGGTGAAGTTGTGGGGCTCTCTGTGGGGCGGGATGCGCGGCGAAAGCTCCACATAACGGACCAAATTCCCCTCCCAAAAGCCGCCTTGCCTACTCGTCCTCCGGCCACGCTATCCTGCGCCGTCCCCGGCTAACCTGCGCACCCCTCACTCCCTCCTGTCTTCACTTCTTTGCTCTTCTCTCTCTCTCTCTCTCTCTCTCTCTCGAGGGTTGGTGGGATTGAAGGGGAGGGCTGGGACTTGGGTGTTTTGGCGCGAGATGTGGGATGCTGCGACCGCTGATAAGGCTGCTGTCGTCGCTCTGGAGGCCGTTTGGCAGGAGAGGAGGCGGCGTCGGCGGCGGGGGTGGTGACGGGGTCGCCGGCCGGGCGGGGCTCCTGTGGTCCCGTGACCTAGGCCGTTGCGCGGGAGGAGAGTTCTCCATGGCCGTGGTCCAGGCCAACCGAGTCCTCGAGGACCAGAGCCGGATCGAGTCCGGCCCCTTCGGCACCTTCGTCGGCGTCTACGACGGCCACGGGGGACCCGACGCCGCGCGATACGTCTGCGACCATCTCTTCGCTCACTTCAGAGGTAGCCTCTCGACATCTTCCCCTCGATTTTCTTGGGAACACTATGCTTCTTTTTGTAATCTTCTCGTCTGACGCCCAATTTTGATAAAAGTTGTTCTTTTTTGGTCTTTGGTTACTTAACGGTTCATTTTAGGAACATTCATTCGTTGAAAATTGCAGTAATTAGTGCATTTTTCATTCTTTTAGGAAATTTCTTTCTTTTCCATAGTCTATATACTATTTTCTTGAATATATGATATTTTTTGTGGTTCAGACTCAAGCGGTAGTACAAGGTCGAATTGGAATGCCCGGATCTAACCCTAGAAGAAGATTAATGCACTGCTTTTTTCTTGTGTGCACCTTAATTTTCATGTGAAGTTTGTGTACATTGCCTTTGTCTACTTTATTGCATCAAAACCTTGATGTGTTCTATTTAGTTTCACTGTTTTGCATTTCTTATGTAAGGGCCTCCAGCTTCATGGCTTTAGTTCTGGAAGGCCATGAACAAAATAAGCTTGATGAGAATTGGCATATGACTTCTTCATAGAACCGGAACTGTGTTATTATGAACTTCAATTATTGGAACTTCATCTTTCAAAGGTTTACATCTTCCACAGGCTATCACGTAGGCATGTCCAGACGAAGGAATGTCACCTTCACAGATTTAATTTTATTTTTTGCTTGAATAATCCTTGAAACACTTGAATGTCATTTTGACACTTCAGTTTAGGTGTTACAATTACTTGTAAAATGAGATTATTATTACAGACATGAATCACCTTCTCTCTTAAGCTAGATTTACTTCCACAGTAGAAAGTTTAATTTTGGACCAACTTCTTTTTCCTGAGTTTCTTATGTTTTAGGACCTTTTGTTGCTTGCAGTGCTTGTCAGAGTATCACAATTTCCTTTCATTAGTTGCCTTATATGTCTATATGAATTAGCTGAAATTTTTACTTAGATTCATTCTTTTTTGATAGTTTGCCAAGTCAATAGTTGCTGTCTCGATGCAGAAATTTCATCTGGACCACAGGGTGTGACGTGTGATGGCATTCAAAGAGCCTTTCTAGCAACCGAGGAAAGTTTTATTGCACTGGTTTCCCAGCTATGGAACACTCGACCAGATATAGCAACTACAGGCTCATGCTGTCTTGTTGGTGTTGTCTGCCAGCAGACCCTTTACGTGGCTAATCTTGGTGATTCTCGCGTCATTCTTGGAAAGAAAGTTGGCAGCACTGGTGAGATTGCTGCAATATCATTATCAAATGAGCATAATGCTAATGTGGATGCTGTAAGACAGGAGCTTCAGGCACAGCACCCAAATGATCCACAGATTGTCATCCTTAAACATGGAGTTTGGAGAATCAAAGGCATCATACAGGTCAATCTGTTGCAGCGTTTCCAGATATTTTTACAGTGCTTCTGTGTGTCTTACTAATGATTTTTCCCTGGTTTGATTGCTTGAATCTTCTTTGTGTTTTAGAACTCCATGTTTTTAACATTTGCTTTTTCCTACTTCCACTATGTAGTAAGTAGTATTTAAAATATTTAGAGAACATTGCATATGACTTACCTGCAAGAGATTTCAGGGTTTCATTTAACCCACCTGATATTTGATTTGTACTTTACCTACATCATATATCTCTGTTTTGCCACATTGCTTGTTCCCTCACCTTTTGCCACAGTACTTCCATTGCCCCCTTGATGTCTATTGTAAAGGATAAGAAAATCTATAGCCCTATCTATGATTTTAAAATCACAGGAACTTGTATGGTGACAAATACTACAATTTGGAGTGAGACAAGAGCTCGATAATTGGTATTTCTTCCATTGTCCTCCAAGTCTTTTAGCTATCTGATTTCAACATTATGATTTGGAGAGGTGGGTTGTTGCTAGGATGTGAGGCATCAGGAGAGTGTCTTGCAGCAGGATGGCGAAGTGGGAGGGACACTAATGAGTAGGAGACATTGACAAACAAAAATGTCTTTGATGAGCCCTGAAGAAAATAATATGAGATTTTCAATAGAAGTGGTATATTTATTTTCAGGTGATAAGAGTATATATTGTAGTAGTGTTAGGAAAGCTAGGATAATAGAAAGTTTCCTAGGAATTCCCTTGATTTATTTACTTATATATTAATGATCTGTTTTAAGGTCTTACCTTTTTGCAATGCTGATGTATAACTAACTTTACTATGCATATACAAGATAATCTTCCACAATGCATGTTGTCTTGATAATTGTTGCGATTGATGAGAGTATCGTTAGAAATTTGAAATTAATTATGCAATCAAACTTTAGAAACAAAATGTTTTAAATTAAATAGAAATATGGCCTAATATATGTAGTATCATGTCAGCAGTGCCAAGAGAAGCTTCATTGGTACAGAAATGCCAAGAAAAGAATCATTGGTATAGTTAAAACGGATTGAAAATAAGTAAAAAGTTTAGAAATTTGGGGTTTGTTATTTAAAAGAATGGAAATATTTATAAAAATAGTGTTCACAGTGTTAAAGTTGAGATAGTTGAAGAAGAGGACATCAAAAGTATTGTGTGATCATGTGCATCCCTTAGATGAGAGGAAAAAATTAGACAATTGAAAGGTCAATTACATTTTATGGGTTGAAATATTGGGCATTCATGAAGGAACATACACAAAAAGTTAATAGTCCTAAAATGATGATGTTAATATAGATGTGTCAAATCACATTCTTTGAAGAATTAAGAGTTCTGATTGAGAATATAATTTGTCATTTGATAAACATGAACATGTTTAAAGGCTACTTATTGATGCACTGGTCGACTGCTGTTCCTTGCATTCAAATTATCAAATTACTTTCTGACCTTGAAATGATTTCTGTAGTTTAATTTGTATGATAAATTGCAGGTCTCTAGATCTATAGGTGATGCATACATGAAACATTCCCAGTATAACAGAGAACCAATCAACCCAAAGTTCAGAATAGCTGAACCCATGAACATGCCTATCTTGACTGCGAATCCGTCTATTATGTTTCATCATCTTGAACAAAGTGACTCTTTCCTCATATTTGCTTCAGATGGTCTATGGGAACATCTAAGTGACCAAAAGGCAGTTGAGATTGTTCACAGTCATCCACGTGCAGTAAGCATCTTCACCTCATTGTTATTGCTCGTATCATCTCATGCTATTTGCTTTTCCTTCTATCTTTTCTTTAGTTTCTCTTATGAAGAACATTCATGCATTTTTCTTTATATTAGATATTTCTTTTCTTTGTTTGAGTAATATCAGGCTGAGTGTTATACATATCCTTAATGCTTACTTATATGGACATATCAGAGTTTTGAAAATAAAGACAATCTGTAGTCTTATATGAGTCATTACTTACTCTTGGCACAACTGAAGCTCTTTATGGAGCCTTACTGATGCTGTTTTTGGAGTGCTTATCGTACTTCTAGAAGTCAATTGCATATAAAGCTAGAGTAGAGTGCAAAATATTTGTATGAACAATGGAGCTACATCACTGTCATATGCAAACTGCACTCTCTTCTTTATATCGAGATGTATAATTATAATCAAGCCTTTAACCTTCACCTTTATCAAATTCGTTCTACATGCCAAAGTTCCAGGATTGATTTAACATACATCCCAAATCCCAATCTGAATTTAACTCACATTCTGCAGCCTTATTCCGTCCTTCATTGATTGACATTGTATCTAAATGTTTTTCCCTGTTTTGCTTTTTGTATTATTATTTTTCATGTTGTAGGGAAGTGCAAAAGGTCTCATTAAAGCTGCTCTCCATGAAGCAGCAAGAAAACGAGAGATGCGATATTCAGATCTCAAAAGGATTGACAAGAAGGTCCGCCGGCATTTTCATGATGATATTACTGTCATCATTATATTCCTTAATCATGAGAAGGTTCAAGATCACATGCAAGTTCCTCAGTTTTCAGTTCGAAGTGCTTTGGATCATTGAAGCACATGAAGAGTTCTTTCAGAATTCCAAAACATTCTCTAACTGATGATCAACACAGCCAGCATTGAAAGTTTCTTTATTTGGAAGATTGATTGCTTTGTGGCGTTTTAATGACCATGAAAAGTTTGTCATATTTCTTTTATTATAAAAGCATTTTTTTTACCTTGTATTTAAACTGTTGTGCTGTCAGATACATAATTTCTTGACTTTGGATAGCAATTTCAAATAAATCTGTTCTTGATGTTTTTACTGTATTTCCCTGCTCATCCTCTCTCTTCCTTTTGTATTATCGAAGGGTGCCTGTGATGCTTTAATAGAGTAGATTGTTGACAGTCAGTAAGAATCAATGATCAAACAAGATTTGCCATGCAGCAGCATTTTAATATCTGCAGTTCTCTGCATAATGTATAATATTTAGTTGAGTAATGGACTCTGGCAGTATATTGGGTTATCAAGCTTGGGTGATCCCTTGTCTTTTTTTCTTTTCTTTTTTGTTCTCTAAAATTTTGCCAATAAAACAATGCTTGCATCATTGCCACCTGTGTAGACATCTGTAGCCAAAATTTCAGTTTCTAGATAGCTTCCTAAGCACAATCCCAAGGGCTGTTGTTGACATGTGTGAGAGGCATGACACTCAATTCACCCATGTATCATCCTCTAACAATTTGATTTATCATCATTCATGAGGACATCTTTGGAGATCAATCTCAAGAGGCAGATGAAAGAAAGACTTTTGGGACATGCTTTAGATCTGTCAAAAAGTAGGTCAAATGAGTCAATTTGATTTCACACATGTAAAGAGTATTCTGGCTCAGCATGTCATCCAATGGAAATTCTTGGGGTATCTCACAGCACTGGGTCATTTTTTAGGGTAGAAATAATCATGTCAATTCACTTGATTAAATTTGCCCCTTAATCTTTTAGCAATTTGTAATGTGATAATTCTTTTTGGTGTGCTCTACAAACATGTGAAGCCAGTATTCTTGATTGCATGATCCTCATGTCACCATGCTCAAGATTTCTTACTGAGAAGAAGGTAATTCAAACTCATGACCTTTGAATTATTAGGAAGTATTGGATTTGGTTTCCTCACATACTGTTACAAAAAAAAAAGAGGGTAGATTAAGCTAATGTTAAAATAATAAATTAAAAGATAAAATTCAAGAGCATAAATATTATTATCCTTGGCGTAAAATATGGTCTTGTGTATGAGAATTAACCGATATTTTCATCGTCTCAAGATTGAACCAAAACCTCTTTTATCTTATATCATCGAGGATGTTTTCACGAGGAAAAAAAGAACGAAAAGGATATGGGGATCAGAGGGATAGGCAGTAGTAGTTTAGGAATCCATTGATTGGTTGCATGTTCATTGGTGGTGGGAGAAGAACATCTTTGCCATAGCCAAATCCTCTCATGTCACTTCTCTTTCTTCTCTCCTTAATCTTTATCATCTCCTCTGATCTCATATATTTCGAGTTTGACGCACCACAAATGTCATTAATTGCTCTTCTATGGATCAACCAACCTGTGTGTGTGTGTGTGTGTGTTCATATGAAGAACTGGTTTCGAAGGAAAGACAAAAGTCTCACTCTCATTCATGGCAGCCTCTATACAAGCTCTTAACTTCTTGGCCACAGCCCGAGCACACGTCGCAGCACATCGATCGCCTCGAGCCCGTTCACTCCTCCTGCTTCGATCCAGGCAAAAGCCATGCATCAAGAAGAAGGAAGCGAGAGCATCCAAGACTGAGAGAAACGGAGGTAGAACTGCCTTGTGCAATCCGAGGTCCATGAGCTGTGTCGAGGAGAAGATGACGAAGCTGCGGCGACGCATCCCGCACTGTGAGTCGATGGAGCTCGACGGGCTCTTCCATGAAGTGGCCGGCCACATCATGTGCCTGCAATTGCAAGTGAAGGTGATTCAGATGATGGTGAAAGCGTTGTCACCCCGTGAATCCGACGAGTGATTTCTCGTGGAGTACTTCCTCCTTGCGTTCTCTTTGTTTCTTTCTCTTCTTTTTTGAGATTTTGTATTCTCTTTGTCTTTTTGGTTTCTTTTATTCCCTTTTCGCGTGATCTTGAGACTGCTAATAGGAGATGAATGAGGAGTTCTTAAGAAGACAGATTAGCATGTGGTGGATATGCTTACAATAAACTGTACATATCTTTTTTAATATCTTACAATTCCAATTGCTTAATCTCATTTTTATTATTTAAAATATATAATTACCTAAATAAAATTAATTTTACTAATCATATTCATATTTCTTGTAACCCCTTAATTATCTCGGAATATGACACTTTATAGGTCAATGTAGGGAATCAGAAGATGACATCTTTCAAGCTATTATAAAAATATCTTAAATATCATCTTCAAGATGATATATCCTAAGTTGTTAGAGAAACATCTAAAATATCATCTTTTTGATGTGTAACATACGTTTTAAACCCTAAAAACATTAAATCGATCTAATAAACATAAGAAAATTATTTTTCACCTTCTTTGATTTTTAAATCATCCATTATTTATTTTTTTATTATTTTGCATCATCGGCGATGAAAGATGCTACGAGGAGAAGGATAATAAGAAGAGAATGAAAAATAATAATGGTACGAGAGTTGGAAGAATTTATTATATTCAAGTGATAAGTTAAGAATATTTACATCTACTTATAAAAAAAATCTTAAATAATAAAAAAATTATAAATATAGTAATAGAAAGGATGTGCTTATTTTGTTTGAGGTAGTGTACTTGCATTTTCTTCAACAAGATTTATGCATCACAATTATTACTGGAAAATTTGGATTCTGAGAGTAAGAGGAGCTGAAATCAACAAAATTATTCTTTGGGAACAAAAATATTCTTTTAGCTGATAGCTAAAATTTCATCATTAAGTAGGATTAAGAATGAAATTTCTGCCCTTCTTTTAAGAGCAAAACAATGAGTTTTATAGTTAATTTCTTGTGCATCAACCATAGTGACAAGATACATAAGTTTGTTTTCTTTAAGCACATCTAATTCAGAATTGTTGGCTTTATTTTTCTTTCTTTTATTTTGTTTCTTTCTAAGAGGAATTTTTTGGACCAATAAATTGTAAAATTCATGCAAGATCTCATTTGGACTCTTATTCACACCTAAGTATGGGCAAAACCCACTCATGTGACATCGATAACTAAATAAGGATGAATTTAGAAAAAAATATTTTTGAAAAATTTTCACGTAGCACCGCTAATCACGTGAAAATACCATTTTACCCATTTCTCTATCGGATCTGTCGTCGTCGCCCTTACCTTCCTGCATCGCCTTTGTCTTCGTGAACCTCGTGAGTCATGCCACCTCCTTTCTCACTTATGGTCGATTGTGAGGGGAGCTCGTAGGCGATGGTTAATGCACACGCTAATCCCTTGCCCCTCTTTGTCCCTTGTGACCAACACGGGGATGTGTGGGTTGCCCACTCTCCTTTATCTATGGTCAGTGACTAAGCATGTGAGCTGCTCCATCTTCTTTCTCACCTATGGTCGATGACGAGCGAGACTATGGATAATGACAAAGGCATGTCTCGCCCCCACGAAAAACACATGCACTGGCTGCTCCCTCTCCTTCCTTGCCTACGATCGATGACGAGAGGAATCCATAGACCCTAATGGTGAGAGGAGCTTGTGGGTGATCGAGACAACTATTGAGGTCCAACAAGAGTAAAATCTCCGCCATTGGTCACTTACACTATGGGTGATGAACGAGAATTTCTTAAAACTTTACGGGGCAGGTTGATAGGAGTAGAATGGATATTTGAAAAAATGAATACTATTCGAAAATTTCTCTAATGTTAACACGTTATTTGAAAAATTATCAAGTTTTAGGATTTTTTAAAAGGAATTCGCTCAATAAATAAATAAAAAATAGGTGAGAAGGGGTTATTGGGCCGGCAAGCTATGAGATTCGTGCGACGGCTTATTGGACCCTTTTAAGAGTCGGGCGTGGGCGTGGGTATGGACGGAATCCCCACTTATGCTTCATGTGACGTCGATAACTAAATAAATAAATAAGAAAAATGTACGAAGAACCCTAAGCTGAGAGAGCAGAGAACTTGAAGTGCGGAAGCCGGATTCGACCACCACCACTACTACCGGAGCCGAAGTCTTCCTGGGATCCTTGCCTCCTCGCAAATGGCGGCTGCTGCCTCGGCTTCGTCGCCTACTTCGCCCGCCGCTGTCACGGAGAGGAGGGGTATCCCGGGAGCATCATTCGTGGAGGACGTCGAGACCTATCTCAAACAATCCGGCCTCGATGCCAACTCCTCCCTCGCCTTCCTTCAAGAGAGGTTCTTTCGTCTCTTTTTCTCCTCTATATTCTTTCAAGTGACGACGGATCAGATGCTTCGATCTGAATTTATCTACACTTTTGTTCTGTTGTTGTTCTTCCTCTTCCGATCATTGGTATCACGTTTTCTTTTGGGGCTCTTCTTTTCTGTTACACGTTGTACTTTTCAAATTAGTAAGTGTTGTTTGTATCGCTTTGATCTCTCTTAATTCTTTCTTGGTTCAGTTGCTTTTCAACTTACTTTTGGATTTCATTTGTATACATTTGTTGTTTCATTAATCTGATGATTACTATCCTTGAAAAATCTCTTCTTGGGACACATTGGATATGTTGATCTGCGTCGTCATCTTTATATATGCGAACAAATTGGTAAAGTTGCAGTTATAAGATAGAGCTCCAGTTGCCTGTTTACTGTCTATTTTTCTTAGGTTCTTTTTGTGACACCTTAAGTTTAGCCTTAAGTCCAATATGAGAGAAGAATTGAGTTAGTTTATAAGGTTAATGGGTCCAGTAGCCCTTTTTTGGGCTTAATAATTTTGGATAAGTGGTTAGTTGATGGACTAGTTTTCCTACTGGTTCAGATCGAGAGTGGACCCTATTACTACGCTTGGTCAGAAGCCCAAGTGGTAAATGACTATTCGTGGATGGGATGGGAGGCATTTCATGGCGTCGCCACCATTGGATTGAGCCTGAGATGCCCTACTAGATTGATTCTAGATATTGTTCGGCTTTGATGAGGACTCGAAGTGGAGACTGTGACACCCAAAGTCTAGTCCCACGCCTGATGTGTGAGGAGAATTAAGTTGGTCTTGAGGACTAGATGGGTCTACTATGATTGATTTCGGCTTAGCATTTTGGGTCAATGGTTCATGTTTATCATGTTAATGGGCCAGAGCATTGTTGAGATATCTGGATTGGTTAGTGCATTGAA